TTGTAGATCACCGTTGGGCCCCGTGGTCACTCATTCATCCAGACCTCTCCATGCAGGCCTTTTTGAAGCCAAGTGCAGGTCCGTCTGGGTTCCATCACTGTCGGAGTGAGTGAGGTGTCTGACAAAAGCCTCATTTGAACTTGCAGTTGCGGGCCATGTCGTGTGTTCGAGCAGATTTTCCTGCTTGCAAGTCGTTCATCATCATATAATTCAAACACGTTTTTAATATAGATTGGTTGGAAATTTAACTTGACAAATCTAAAGGTGAGACTTTGATTGCCAGCCACATGTAGAATCTGTCTCCTGCACAGTTTGGCAGTAAGTGTGTCCATCTTGCACAGAATCTTTGTATTCATATCATTCTTTGAAAACCATGGCCTATTTTTTGGACTTTCTTAGATCTGACTTTAATTTGTGCCCACAGAGAAACCTTTTTTTTACTGAATAATGATGAACCTATGGAGACATTCTGCATGTATTTAGGAAACATGCCCTGGAAATAGTCTATTGTCAATGCTGATTACAAATACTTACTTTCTTTTGAATTTGTTTGTATACACTTTCTGCGGACGCCAAATATAGGCCAGTAGTAACTAAAAATAGTAGAACGTGACATACAGTATAAAGGGATATTGGATATAGCACAGAACTTCTACCTTTTTAGAATCTTTTTTGTCGCTGCTGAAGCTGGAGGCACAGATGAAGGAACCCACACAGTTTTAGAGAATTATTATACTTTATTTCAAGTTCAGTGTTAAATTGTAAATGTCAGTGTCCTACAAAGCACGTTTAAAAACAACCAGTGCTGTACAGACTATATGTACAATGAAATGAAAACACTGTAATTTATTGAATATATTAAAAAAACAGGACACAAGAGTTTCAGATTTAAAAGCAAAAGCCAAAGTAAAGAAGTGAGTTTTCAATTTGGATTTAAACTTTTTGACAGTTTTAGCAGTGCGGACATCGACAGGTAGGCTGTTTCAGAGTTTCAGAGTTAAGAGGATCCATTTGTTACATAATACATACAGTAGCAAAGTGCATTCTCCTCTACTGTACTATGATGCACTTGATAAGCATTCGCAAAAACAGTTCGCACCTGCTCATTCACAAAGCGGAGCAATTTAGACTCAAATGAATCAGGCGCAGTAACTCATAACAGGTCGACGATGTGTGAAAATGTGAGCGTGGGGAGTTTCTCAGTGCGAGAGGATAAGGGCCAACAAAAGAAGGATGGAGCAGAGGATGAAGAGAGCAGCTCATGAAGGATACATCCTGCAGCACTTCATAAGGAGGAAGTGTTTGTTGTTATTTTCTTGAGTCTGTTTGCTGCCTTCAGGACCTCACGGCTCTGTTTGGGCCTTGTTCCTGCAGCTGCTGTAATCTAGACTTTTTATCGAGTATTTACCAGCTGCTTGGGAGAGCGCGCTGAGAAATCTGAAGCGGCTATAAAATCCTTTTACGACAATAGCACCAAATCAAGGACTGAACAAAGAAGGGACAAAGGCAGAGGACAATGTGTTGGCCCAGCTCTGAAGAGGATGTATTTGTACTGTATTATATTACAGTGCAATTTTCAGTACGTCTCTACATTGATAGTCTCTTCCAGTCTCTGCGAATAGAAAAGGCAGAATTGTTTATAACCAGCAATAGTTATAACATATCTTTTTCATATTTGAATTCAATATTTAGACAAGGCAACTCAAAGTGCTTAACAAGAAAAGAAACACAAGGTATTTAAGAATAATAATCACAGTAAATTAAAGAGTCAAGATACAATCCTTCAGTTTTATGCACAGCTACACAAAAATGTTTTAACCTAAAAAAAATCTCAAAATATTCCAGCTGCGTTCCAAAATATGACTTATTATGTGTCATATGTTAAAGGTGATGTCTGAAACTTCAAGTATTTTCGTAAAGATACAAAAAAAACTAAGCAAATTAAACTGGAGTATAATTTATATTAAGCATTTTTTTAAATAAATGTAAAACAGCCCCCTCACCATATTAGCTGGAGGAGAATAGTTCGACCAATGGGGAGGGGCCTCAGCTGTCTATCAAGGAATTAATTGCATCCAATCAGGAAAGGGAAGGGTTTAAGTGTGGTTTGCGTTTGAAAAATGTCTCTCCATCATCATCTGAAAAGTAACTGCCCTTCACTGTAATATTTTTTCATGACAGTAATGAAAATCTATATACTTCCACCACTCCAGATAAATACATTCTAATCACTGAATCCCTGTAGGTGAATATATTTTCCTTTAGGCTGTCTGAATATGTCTCTCACATTTGTTTCCTCCTAATGCGACTGCACCTTTTTGGGCCCATGCAGTGGTTTTTGCAGGCTGCATTGATGGGTGGGTTTTGGGGGTTGCTCACATGTCGGCGTGAATTCCTCGCTTCTATAATGACAGCCGTGCACAATGGACACACTGTGATAGCGAGGCAGCGGGCCATTTGGAGGTTCGCTCAAAGCATGCAAAGGTAAACGCTGCTAGTTACTCATTACAAGTGCTTTCCTGCTGCCAATCTTGATAGAAATGAAGCCTGACTTGTCCAGCACACATGGGCCGCTCAGGCTGCTTCACACACGCAGTTTGACAAGTGGACGGGTAATAGATTGACTTTTAATGTGGTCATGAAAGCGCGGAGGGATGAATGGCATAAATAGTTGGACATGTTCCTGAGCGGTGTGTCTGTGCCATCGTTCTTCGTCTTGTCGCGGCAGTGAGGCCTGGTGTTTAATGGTTGGTTTGTTGTTAACCTGCTGACATCTGGAGCAAACACAGAGATCCATTTATGGACCAGTCAAAACAGTCCAAAGCCACGCAGAGTCAGTCAGACAAGCAAAGCGCTGCAGGGCCAAAACTGCAGCAATCCAGAGCTGATCACTGTGAGAGTATTTACACATCGCTTGCATTTGATTTTCAGGAGTAAAGTTAAAGGGCTTTACTTCTGAAATTCTAAGCTTTATATTTAACAGTAGATTGTGACAAACATATCTGTACATTTTTAAAGTCCATACAGAGAAATGAAATTTCAGTCTTGATGGCCAATCCCTAAAAATCATGACAGTCTAAAAAAACTCTAAGTTTAATGGAGCTCTATTCAGTGAGTTACAGATTTGTAGTAATTATGTATTATTTTAACTCCCCTTCACAATCAAAATCTCCAGTGGGTGATTTGTCTGTGCTTTTGTTTCTATTTTCTAACCACATAAATGGATGTATTTAGAATAGTAAGAGTTCTAGTGTTTTTCCGGCGCCTCTGTTCCGTGTTGGGCAAATTCATGCCCACTTCCTCACATTGAGGCAGTTTAAAATGGTCTTCAATGACCAGGCTGGGAAAGCCACATGGACAATGGGAGTGCAGGATGGACAGAGGATCAGAAACCATAGCTGGAGACGTGCGTACATAAACAGACTGGGCCCTGCAGCAGTCTGAGTTAAAAGGTCACCTCTGCTAAGGTAAAATAGCCTAATCAGTGCATACATACTTGGAATTGTTGGTACCTATGTGAGACTCATTTCCAAATATTTAAGAAGAAAGTAGTTGTGTGAATTATCTCAGAAGTATGGGGCAATTATACAGCACAGCTGTTCCCAAAGTCAAAAAGACACTGTTGGGAGTGAAACCTAAATGTGTAAATATACTCAAGTCATTCACAAATATTGCTCTTGACAGAAAGTAAAGGGAGAAGCAGGCAGGTGATCTTGAGCTGGATTCGCCTCAACCATAATAAACTTTGTGACCTTGTGAAATCTCAGCTGTAGAATGGGCCCAGCCCAAAAACTCACTCCATGTCACTGTTGAGCTCTGGACATCAGAGTACAAGTCATTTCCTAAAGTGAGCCCCTCACCTCTTCACCCATCCAATTTCCTCCATACGCAAACAAAAGCCACTTCTGAGAACACTGCACGACTACTTCAGCCTCGAAATCTGCACAGCGATTAGTTTGGTTGTTTTATGAGACAATACTGCAAATGTTTAACCAAGATACTTTTTAAACCCAGAGCACCTTCAAATAGTCTGGAGAGAAACTCCCAGGAATGTTCAAAGCAGTCATTTGAACTTCATCACAACTAAACCTATTCTAAAGAAATTCTTAATTTTCTAGTTTTTCCTCATTTGTAAAACTTAGTAATGTTTATTCATACAGAGAATTTTACAGACCCAGGTCACCCAAAGTGCTTTACAATAATCAGAGTTCAGTTATTTCATTCTCTTTACACGGTGATGACGTAAGCAAGTCGCCGAACACACTGGTGCATCAAAGCTCCAACCAACACCATCCATTCACTCGAATCATACCTATTTTACATGGTTTTAGTGGTAGGGGAACCCGGAGCACCAAGAGGAAACCTACGCAGACATAGGAAGAACATTCAAACTCCACTCAAAAAAAGGTCTTCTTGCTATGAAACAAGCTCTTGTGGGTTACCCCACTAGACAGTGCCATTTCTCATGAAGGCCACCTCTTATAAGAGCAGTCAAGCCCCAGCTGAAAAAATTTTAGTGGGGAAAGTAAGAATAAAATTCAGCTATTTTTTTTTATCTATTTATTTTTATTTATATAGCATATTTTACAGACCAAGGTCACCCAAAGCGCTTTACAATGTTACATTGTCCACACACGGTGATGACGGAAGCGAGTCGCCGAACACACTGGACCATCAGCTCCAATCAACACCATCCATTCACTCTCTCATTTACATTCATACCTATTGTACATGTTTTCAGTGGTAGGGGAAACCGGAGCAACCGGAAGAAACCTACGCAGACATGGGGAGAACATGCAAACTCCACTCAGAAAGGCCCTGTTCCGACCGGGCTTCTAACCCAGGACCTTCTTGCTGAGAAGCGAGAGTGCTATCCACTCAGCCACCGTGCCGCCCAACTACTAAAACTGAATTAGACAAAATTAATTTGTAAATTAAATTATTTGGAGATAAATTTGGAGAGGAACTCTATTGCCTCTGGTTTGATCTGGAAGTCAGTATCAAAGCAGCACATTGGAGGGAATGTGAGTGCAGACGGACCCTGCAGACGAACACTGTAGGCTGTCTGGGGAGGCAGACGCTGGGGCCCAGAAAATCTGAGGGGCCAAGATCCGTAAGCCACAGTAAGGCAGGACCCTACTCTAAAATGTGGAAAAAGTGAAGTTAGAATAAAAGGCAAATCGTTCAACAAGACTCTGCATATACTTGTAATGGCCACAAAGTTTGGACTAAACATGGTCTCCTCTGATCCTGATGTGAAAGAGAGCAAAGCCTTCTAATTCTGAAATAAAAGGCCAATTGCTTTCTTTTTTTTAAGTGTAGATGTAGAATTCACACAAACATTTTTTTTTACATGTTTCCCCCAAATGTTGAACAGGTTAAGTAATGTTGCAAAAGCATAAAGTGTAAAAATTGAAACTGTAATGATAAACAGGCAGTTACCACAAAGATCCCTCGACTATAGTGCTTCTCTTGTGTGTAGGCAAAGCCCAGGGTGAGCACCCGGTCAAACCAGCCTTTCAGGATGGCAGCCACAGAAAACCAGTACATGGGGAACTGAAACACACAGATGTGCCATGTCCAATACACACAGCCTAAAACAGTCTCCAATACCTGAAAGATGATAAGATCTGCTTCTTCGACTTTACACTGTTCCTCAGAGATATCTGCACACAGCTGGCCTGCTTTGGTCTCCTCCGCATAGAGGAAGTTATTCACTTCACCTTCAAAAGTGAAACATGTAACAGAATGTGAAGAGGCCTTTCCAATTTCACCTTTACTGCTACAAAACTACAGACCGGTGATGTCTTCAGCTGTGGCAGTAGCTTTGAACTTCACGGCATACAAGTCAGACACTTCCACAGTTATGCCTTCTGACTTCAAAACCGCCGCTGCTGCATCTTTGCCAGCAGCACTGAATGATCCCGCGCTTTGGTGAGCATACACAATCAGTACTTGGCTCGCTGCAAGTCAAAAAGCACCAGACCAATGTTCAAGGAGACACATGTATCATTCGTGTGTATGCATTATTAGTTCATTATTAGTTTCAAACAAAACTTATACATTTAGCATCAACTCTCAGAAGCAGATCCCAGGCCACAGTTCAGCCATTGTTTTCATAATCCACTGTCTGTTGATCCACTGTCTCCGGCTCAATCCCACTAGTGCTGTCAATCACACACACTCGCATGAACACAAACACACACTCATACACACAAACGGATTGTATGGTTGTGCTGGAGAATCACTGCACACTAAGTTTTACTTTAACCGCAGGAAACTCACAATAGTCTTCCTGTTTCCCAGCTGCTGCTAGAGGCAAAGGTTTTCTCATTTACTTGGAGAAGATATAATTTTCCTCACAAGAGAAAATCAGCCTGTGGTCATGGAGAAGATGAGTCAAGTTACAGTGAGACTCTCTTTTCTGTGACTTTCCCAACTCCCCAATATCATAGTCTTTAAGTTATTGGTTCAATTTGTCAATATTAGAGAAATCTATGATCACAAATGTTAGAAAGTGGCTCCAAGTACTGCAGTGTAGAACATTTACATTTATATTTTGATTGGTTGATAAAGTCACATTCTACTCAAACCCTTTAAAAGAATTGAGCATTTTTGGGCAGGATTAGTCATATGAAATAAAGGAATAAATATCCATTCCATTTTCTTCTGCTTTATCCATTGCCGGGTCAAGGGGGGCAGCAATGTAAAGCAGAGACATCCAGACTTGCCTATCCACACACACTTCAGCTCATCCAGGGGAATCCTGAGGAGTTCCCAAGCCAGCTGGGAAATAGTCCCTCCAACTTGCCCTGGGCCTTCCCTGGGCCTTCTAATAAATACATATATGATGCATTATAGTAGTGTAAGATGGTCAGTGTTGTACCAGGTGGACCCTAAGGCCTAGTTCTAACGCCACCAGAAAGGGAACAATAATTTATAAAGGAAAACCTGTTAGGACGAACAAAATGGCAGACCCAAGGATGCAGGAAACAGTATTTATTTAACAGAAGTAGAGGGTGGGTTCCTGGGTGGCAGATGTGGAGGGGTAGACCGGGCTATATCAGGTGGAGGATGAAGGTGAACTGGAGCTGGACACACCAACGGTACTGGAGAAAAACAAAAACGCGGGTAAGTACAGGAACAGGTAAGTAAAGTAGTCAAAAAGGCAAAGCGTAGCACCACTTCTCATGACGGAACGATCTGGCACTGGAGAGCAGGTCTGCATGGCTTTTGACTGTTGGTTGTTGATTGTTGCTGGTGCAGGAGCGCAGCTCCCCAGGTGCAGGTAACGAGGAGTCTCAGGAAGGGAGGAAACAGGAGGGGAGGGGTCGAACAGGAGGAGCTGGGGAATGAGCTGCAACAGTACCCCCCCCCCAACGGGCACCTCAAGGTGACCCACCAGGCGTCCCCGGATGGGCCCGATGGAACTCCCGGACAAGGTCCGGATCCAGGATGAGGGAGCGACCGACCCAAGACCGCTCCTCCGGACCATACCCCTCCCAGTCCACTAGGTACTGGAAACCACGGCCCCGCTTCCGCACATCCAGAACCCGACTCACAGAATAGGCGGGGTGATCATCAACAAGCAGGGGGGGAGGAGGGAGCAAGGCAGGCGGGCACAAGGCGCTGGAACTAACAGGCTTCACTAGGGACACATGAAACACAGGATGAACCCGTAATGTACGAGGCAACTTCAAACGAACAGTCACAGGATTAACGACCCGTTCAATCTCAAAAGGTCCGATGTAACGAGGAGACAACTTTCTGGATTCTGTCTTTAAGGGTATATGTTTAGAGGACAGCCAGACTTTTTGACCTGGGACATACTCTGGAGCGGGACGACGATGGCGGTCAGCAGTCCTCCTACTGCGGGTGGTTGTCCGTAGCAACGCTCTGCGGGTCTCTCTCCAGAACTTCCGGCATCTCCTCATATGCGCCTGGACAGAAGGAACGGCCACCTCCACCTCATCCCTGGAAAGCAGTGGGGGCTGGTAGCCCAAAGAACACTCAAAAGGAGAGAGACCCGTAGCAGATGACGTCAAGGCATTGTGTGAGTACTCAACCCAAGGTAGGTGAGTGCTCCATGTAGTTGGGTTGCGACCAGTGATGCAACGAAGAGCAGCTTCCAGGTCCTGATTGGTTCTTTCACTTTGTCCATTGGTTTGTGGGTGGAAACCAGACGAGAGACTCACAGAAACATCCAGAGACCGGCAAAACGCCCTCCAAACCTGGGAGATGAATTGAGGGCCCCTATCTGATACAATTTCACTAGGAATACCATGTAGGCGAAACACATGTTGGAACAAAAGGTTGGCCGTCTCAAGGGCGGTAGGTAGCTTTGGAAGGGCCACGAAATGAGCCGCTTTAGAAAACCTGTCCACAATGGTAAGAATCACAGTATGACCATTAGATGGCGGCAACCCAGTTACAAAGTCGACCCCTATGTGAGACCAGGGGCGACTGGCTAGTGGCAGTGGTCTAAGATAACCAGTTTGTGGACTATGAGGAGACTTATTTTGAGCACACACTGGACAGGCTGCAACAAAACTGCGTGTGTCGGAGTCCAAGGTCGGCCACCAGAAATGTCTGCGAAGGTTGGACAGAGTACGACTCACCCCAGGATGGCAGGCAAGAGCAGAGCTGTGGGACCACTGCAGGACTTCACTACGGACTGCTGAAGGTACATAGAGCTTGTTGGGTGGACCCCCGCCTGGATCTGGTTCAGCCTCCTGAGCCTGCTTTACATTTGACTCCACCCGCCAAGAGAGGGCACCAAGGATGCACGAATTTGGGAAAATCGGGTCTGGATGAGCATGTTCAATGGGATCAAACTGACGTGAGAGGGCATCAGGTTTGGCATTCTTTGAGCCCGGACGGTAAGTAATCGTGAACTGGAATCGGCCAAAGAAGAGTGCCCATCGAGCCTGTCGTGAGTTCAACCTCTTGGCGGATTGAATGTAGGCCAGGTTCTTATGGTCCGTCCAAACTACAAATGGCTGCTCCGTGCCCTCCAGCCAGTGCCTCCACTCCTCTAGTGTCAGCTTCACCGCCAAAAGCTCACGATTACCGACATCGTAGTTGACCTCAGCCGGGCTCAACCGTCTAGAAAAAAATGCACAAGGATGAAGACGGTTGTCGGAATCAGAGCGTTGGGACAGCACTGCCCCCACTCCCACCTCCACAATAAACTGTTTGGAGGGATCTGGCTGAACCAAGACCGGCGCTGTGGAGAACAACATCTTGAGCTTGTTAAAAGCACGATCAGCATCAGGAGACCAGTGAAATGACATCTTAGAGGATGTGAGTCTAGTGAGGGGTGCGGCCGCTTGACTAAATCCCCGAATGAAGCGACGGTAGAAGTTAGCGAAGCCAAGAAACCTCTGTAGTTGCTTCCTATTAGAAGGCACTGGCCATTCAGTGACTGCCTTGATCTTACTGGGGTCAGCTGCTACTTCTCCACCTTTGATAATGAATCCAAGGAAGGAAACAGCATTAGCATGAAACTCACACTTCTCCGCTTTCACAAACAGTCTGTTCAAGTAATCTCTGCAAAACCAAACGGACATGTTGACTGTGTTCCTCTGGGTCTCTGGAGAAAATCAATATATCGTCAAGGTAAACAAAAACAAAGTGGTGGAGAAAGTCACGTAGAACATCATTTACCAGGGCTTGGAATACTGCAGGTGCATTAGTTAGTCCAAAAGGCATAACAAGGTATTCGTAATGTCCTAAAGGTGTATTGAATGCTGTTTTCCATTCATCGCCTTCTTTGAGGACCAGGTGATACGCATTCCTTAAATCTAGTTTGGTGAATATAGTGGCACCCTGCAGAGGCTCAAAAGCGGAGGAAATGAGGGGCAAAGGATATTTGTTCTTAATAGTTATGTCATTCAGGCCCCGATAGTCAATACATGGTCGCAGTGATTTGTCTTTCTTCGAGACAAAAAAGAAGCCAGCACCCACTGGGGAAGAAGACGGACGAATAATACCTGAGTTGAGAGACTCTGTGATGTAAGACTCCATGGCTTCTCTCTCCGGACGTGACAGGTTGTACAGTCGGCCTGGGGGCAGAGTAGCTCCAGGAAGAAGTTCAATGGCACAATCATAGGGTCTGTGAGGGGGCAAGGACAAGGCTCTCTCCTTGCTGAAAACATCACCAAGATAATGATATTCAACTGGAACTGAAGTTAAATCAGGAGCTGGGGGTACTGTGTGATGCCTAGCTCCCCCTGCAGGCGGTAAAGCAGAACGTAAACAAGACTTGTGACAAAATGAGCTCCAGCCTGTGATGTTGCTAGCTGACCAATTGATTTGAGGGTTATGAGTCTTAAGCCATGGGAAACCTAGCACCAGAGGAGTAAGAGGAGCAGAAAACACATAGAATTGAATGCTTTCATGGTGATTACCAGACAGAACTAAGTGAAGTGGTACAGTCTGATGGGTGATTTCTGCGAGGAAAGTTCCATTTAGAGCACTGACCTTAATCTTTTCAGGAAGTGGCTCCATGCAGATTCCTGCTTGTTGAATGAATTCTGTATCCAAAAAATTCTGCTCTGCACCAGAATCGACAAAGGCCAGTAGGGGAAAGGACTGTTTGTTCCAACACAGGGTGGCTTGCAGCTGGAGTTTTTCTTCCTTGGGGGGTTTGAAGACCTCGCCCGTCAGAACCCCCATAATTACTGACGGGCTGGCCCTTTTGGACAAATGGGACACTGGTTGACGTAGTGGCCCTGACGTCCGCAAGAGAGACACACTCCAGAATTCAATCTCCGGGATCGTTCCTCTTCGGACAATTTGGCTCGTCCGATTTGCATAGGGACCTCTGGAGATGAAAGGGCAGGCGGCGGAGCAGGTAAGGGATCATACCTTGTTTGGTTCACAGTCTGAGTGGGGGTGCGAAATCCAGGGACAGGAAGATAGCGGTGCCCCCTCTCCCGCCGTCGTTCCCTCATCCGATTATCGATTCTAATTGACAGCGATATAAGATCTTCTAGGGATTGCGGATCATCACGGATTGAGAGTTCATCTTTCATTGTGTCACTCAAGCCACGCCAGAATACGCCTCTAAGTGCAGTCTCATTCCACCCAGACTCTGCAGCAACAATTCGAAACTGTATGGAATAATCTGCCACGCTCCTACTTCCCTGCTGGAGCTCCAGTAGCCCCTTGGAGGCGTTAGCTGCGCAGTTAGGGTGTGCAAAGACCTTTTTGAACTCACTAATGAAGTCACTATAGGCTACATCTTCTATTCCTCCACTGTCCAAAACTGCTTCAGCCCAATCCAATGCTCGCCCTCGTAAGAAACCAGTAATGAAGGCTACCTTGGCATGATCGGTTCTGAATGTCCGTGGCTGACAGGAGAATACAGTCTGGCACTGAAGGAGGAACCCCTTACTCTTACTCAACTCGCCATTGAAGGGTTCAGGGTGAGGAACAGGGGTCTCTCTTCGGGAATCATCAGTAGAAGCGGTGACAGGTGTGGTGGGTGAGCTGGAAGTAGGCACCGAAGTAGTCTGAACAGAAAGTTGCTTTGCGATATCCTCCACCAACCTGCTTATGTGAACGACTTGAGTTCCCAGAGATATATGTGAGGTCCTTAGCTCCTGGAGCATCTCTTCATGTTGGCCCAATAAATGTCCCTGGTTTGAGACAGCATGCTGAAGTGGGTCTGTTGCAGCTGGGTCTGTACCTGCTGGGTCCATTTCTGGCCAGATCGTTCTGTTAGGACGAACAAAATGGCAGACCCAAGGATGCAGGAAACAGTATTTATTTAACAGAAGTAGAGGGTGGGTTCCTGGGTGGCAGATGTGGAGGGGTAGACCGGGCTATATCAGGTGGAGGATGAAGGTGAACTGGAGCTGGACACACCAACGGTACTGGAGAAAAACAAAAACGCGGGTAAGTACAGGAACAGGTAAGTAAAGTAGTCAAAAAGGCAAAGCGTAGCACCACTTCTCATGACGGAACGATCTGGCACTGGAGAGCAGGTCTGCATGGCTTTTGACTGTTGGTTGTTGATTGTTGCTGGTGCAGGAGCGCAGCTCCCCAGGTGCAGGTAACGAGGAGTCTCAGGAAGGGAGGAAACAGGAGGGGAGGGGTCGAACAGGAGGAGCTGGGGAATGAGCTGCAACAAAACCTCTGTAGAATGAATTGGGCCAATAACCATAAGTAATAAATAATAATGATGCAGTACCAAAACTTATAATCCATTTCCACTATGCCCAACATCACGTTAATGGTTGTCTCAATAAACGGAACTCACATTCACAGAAGGAGAAACAAGAGGTTAGTGCTAAAGTTACCAAAAAATCCTTGGGTTCTGAAGCCAATTTTGTCCTCTTTAAACTGCTTCTTGAAAATTGTTGTTTTTGTTTTCGTAAGTCAACACGTGTGGTTATATCATATCCACACAAATCTTTTCTGTATTACCACGGTGTGCCATTGCAACATGTCTCCAGACCACATGAAGGGGCACTCCTCTCGCCCTCTCCTGCTTTCCCTTTGCATTAATCTGTACTTTCCCCAGAGAGAAACTGTTGTCTGCGGTTGGAGCCACTCACGGCCTGATGAAGAGAAAGAGAGAGAGGGGGGGGAGAGAGAGAGAGGAGAGAGAGAGGGAGAGAGAGGGGGGGGGAGGGGGGGGGGGGGAGAGGGGGGGGGGGGGGAGTATCAAAGCCAAACACGAGCTGGCTGCTTGGCTCGCATTTGGGGCGATGATCATTTGGGACGTCCCATGAAGATTGGTTGAATATATTATCAAGCGTACCAAGTACCAAGAACTAGTCCCTCCCAGTCTGTTTAGTCAGATTTGTGACCAAAAGTCATACATCTGAAACAGACAAACTTCACAAGAGAATTTACATGTAAAAACAAAATATTTCATGCGTTCTAATAGAATTCTTGACTTTTATTTACGTTTCATTACACGTATATATTTTGTATACAGTATTCTGTGTTTGTTTTATAGCAGATCAAACAAACTAAACTAAACTAAACATTACATTTTAGACATATGGAGATAAAGCAAGGGAACCTAACTTTCTTTTTGCATATACGATAAATTGTTATTTGTGCGGGATTAAGGTTAAGGTTAACTTTTTATATCCCCGTGAGGCAATTTGTCCTCTGCATTTGACCCATTCTGTAATGCCTGTGTCAGATACATGTTTTTAGTGTTAGGGGAAACCACTGCACCCGGAGGAAAATTAATAGTTACCTAATGTAACTTAAGTTCTACGAATAGGTGCGTAGTCCCTTAGGACTTCGCTAGTGGGATATCACGTGACCCCCAGGTCACAGACGCCAGAGAGATCAAAATAATTTGCTCCAATCACCAGCCACCTTCCTCTATAAATGCCCCTGCACAAGGCCGCACCCCCTCTTGAACTCTGCCAAGCCGGGCTGGCCTGATGGGCTCGTAGCTAAGGGACTACGCACCTATTCGTAGAACTTAAGTTACATTAGGTAACTATTAATTCTACGTCATGGTGCTACGTCCCTTAGGACTTCGCTAGTGGGACACAACGCGGAGGCCGTAGGAACATGTACTCCCAGCAGGCCAGCGAAGGGTGATTGGAGCTCCGCCCGAGCAAGACCCTCACACCGTGAGAGGACTCAGGGCAGAAGAAACAAAGCGTGTTACCGGGCCACTCCTACCAAGGACGCCCCCACGTAACACCAATCGTAGGTCAACCGTAGTCACAGGACGCCTCTCCCAAGAGCTCCTGATGTAGACTACCAGACCGATCAAACACACATATATGTACCGCACCTGTAGGATGCCTCTCCCAAGAGCTCCTGCACCAGGGCGGAAAAATAGACCGAAGGCCCACTCCTCAGGGGAGGGACCCAACGGTCCAACTCAATCCGCTGCACTCAGCACGGAATGGGCCACCGACCGGTCCGACACATCCGAAAGATAAGACCGGACGAAAGAGGAGGACGACGCCCAAGAGGCCGCACGGCAAACGTCCTCGACCGACGCCCCCCTGAGAAGGGCCGTAGAGGCCGCCATCCCACGCGTGGAATGCGACCTGAAACCCACCGGGGGGGCCAGGCCCTGCGCCTGATACGCCCGTCGCACCGCCGTGGCGACCCAATGCGCCAGCCGCTGAGCCGACAGCGGGGCGCCCCTGTTCTTGGGGCCCAGACACACAAACAGCTGATCACCCGACCTGAATGACGACGTCATGGCCAGGTAATGCCTCAGCATTCTGATAGGACACAGAAGGTGCTGCCGCTCCTCCTCGGGGAAGGCATGCGGCGGCGGGTGGAAAGCCCTAATCCTGATCACTCTCGACCTAAAGGCCGACGTGATGACCTTGGGGAGAAAAGCCGGATTGGGCCACAACTCCACCATGCCGTCGTCCTCTCCAAAGGACAGGCACGACGCATGGACTGAGAGCGCACACAAATCGCCCGCCCTTTTTGCAGACGCCAACGCCAGCAAGAGGGCCGTCTTAAAAGCGATACAATCGGGACTCGCCTCCGCCGCCGGTTCAAAAGGCGAACCCGACAGCCCCCTAAGGACCACCCTGAGGTCCCAAACCGGAGGCGTTCTCTGGAGCGGGGGCCTCCTCCTGCGCGCCCCCCGCAGAAAACGTTTAATCAACGGGTGAGAGCGGGCTGTGAACCCCCCGAACCCGTCGTGACCTGAAGTAATGGCTGCCGCAAACACCGCCAAGGTAGCGACAGCCCTCCCCTTGTCGAAAAGCTCCTGTAGGAATCCCAGGACCCCCTCCAGCGGGCAAAACCTGGGATCCCAGGAACGGGAATCGCACCAGGCACTGAATAGCCTCCACCTCGTGGCGTAGGCCCTCACGGTGGACGGCGCCCTCGCTCCCTGAATTGTCTCCACCACCGCAGGGGGAAGACCCAGATCTACGAGGCTCCGCCTCTCAACCTCCAAACCCAGAGCCTGCGGCCGATTATCGGACGTGAAAACAGGGCTCCTGCCCCCTGGACTAGAGCCCCCGGCTCGTCCGGGAGGGCCCAGGGCTCCATCACCGCCATGCCCCTCAGGAAGGGGAACCACCGGGCATGCGGGCTGTCCGGAGCCACCAGAATCACCGACCTCCTCTCCTGTTCGATCCTCCGCAGTAGGACCGGCAGGAGACGCACCGGTGGAAAAGCGTACAACAGGCCGCCTGGCCATGGGTAATGAGCCAGAGCGTCCACGCCTAAAGGCGGCTCGTCCGCGGCCCTTAAGGCGAACCAGGACGGGCACTGTGCGTTCTCTGCACTGGCGAAAAGGTCGACTACTGGACGACCGAACCTCCGCCAGATCTCCGCGGCTACCCGTGGGGCCAGGCCCCACTCGTCCTGGAGTGGGCCCCCCCTGGACATCCTGTCGGCTCCCACGTTCCGGACCCCCGGGACGTGGCGCGCCCTGAGAGACAGGAGGTGAAGCGCCGCCCACAGCAGCGTCACCGTCGCCATGCGATGGAGAGCGGGGGACCTGGTGCCCCCCTGCCTGTTCAGATAGGAGACCACTGTGGTGTTGTCTGAGCGCACCATCACGTGTCTCCCCTGCAGCTGAGGGGCAAAGTGCAGCAGTACTCTGTGCACTGCCTCCATCTCCAGCAGGTTGATGTGACGGGCTGAGTCCGACCAGCAGCCTCCTACAGAGCTCTGGCCGAGGACCCCGCCCCATCCTTCGAGCGACGCGTCCGTGAACACCTCGGCGTGAGACACCGCGCAGGCCAGAGTCACTCCGTCCCGCAGTAGACCCGGAGTGAGCCAGAACCTGATGTCCGATGCTGCCCCTTGGGGAACCCAGATCAGCCTCCCCCCGTCCCGGGAGGGGTGAAGCCTGAGGCGCGAGAACCACCTCTGAAAATTTCTCATGTGGAGCAGGCCTAGCCGCACCACAGCATGAGCCGCTGCCATCATCCCCAGCAGGGACCTGAGGCGCCGAGCGGGAACTCTGGGGCCCGCCAGAACCTCCCGGGCC